ACTTTATTGTGAAAGGGCAACTTACAAATGTAGACTATTTTTGTTACATAACTGCACTCAAAAACAAAACAATATAAAACTTTAGAGCCTACAAGTCCACTCAGTCCTACTTCTTTGCTAAGACAAACAAGTTTGTTTACATTTATGGGAGATAATGCTGCCCGCTTCTTATTTACAATGTCACCTGAAAGTGAGAGCAGCAAACAGTGCTGCCTGCAGACTCAGGCAGATCTCTCTGGGCTGGAGCACTGCTTACACCCAGGTAGGTCACTTGCTCAATTATACCTTCACACCCATAAAAGCTGGGCACATTTTAATAAACGGAGGGTGAGATTTTCACCCATACTTCAACCCCTTTATGGTCAGTAAAAAGACCAGAGCAGCATAAAAGGGCTCCAGAAGGCTTGGATCCAGCTGTGGGAGGATTCCTCCAGTGCAGGCGGTGCAGAGAACAGCTACAGGCTGCCCTCTGAGGACCCACTCACAAGCTCTATTGTAGGGGTGTGTGGGAGATGGGCCTGGGAACATGAGGGGGGTGTCAGGAAAGGGGCCCAGTGCTGCAGAGATCCTGGGCCGTGCTGCTGCCCTTCCCCCAGGGAAAGGCTGCCATAACTAAAGGCACAAGCTAAACCAGAAAAACTCACTCCCATTACGGAATAACAGCGCTGGCATGGGGTGTTATACCCGTGTAACAAGAGCAGTTTAAGGACTTGTCTACACTTAAATTTTATAGCGCTCTAACTTGCTCTAACTTCCCTGCCCTGTGCCTGTCTTGTCTGGTTAGACTGTGAGCTCTTCAGAGCAGGGACTGGTGACTCCTCCGTGTCTGTGCAGTGCCCAGCACTGGCCTGGGCTGGCCGCTAGGCACTGCCATAACACAGAGAGGGGCACCCGCTTTGTTACTAATGTAGGCTGAGCTGTACACCCAGGTGGGCCCACAGCCCACTACGGCCAGGTCCTTCACCCCACCCCACCCCCCATTCGGGGCAGATCCCTATTGATCTAGGTGAAAATTGGAAAATCAAAATCCACTAAAATCCAGCTTTTCCATGTTTCTGATTTTCACCAAAATCAACAGGGTTCTGCACGGGGCTGGTCTCGGGGAGGGAGGGGCGGAGGGGAGGTATTTAGCTGGATCGGGGATAAGTGACCTGGCTAGGGCAATGGCTGAAGGGGGATGAGGGGCACCCTGACCCTAAACCATAATCCTAACCCTGAGGTCACCGCCTCATCCTGTATCCTGAGATTTTAGTGGAAATGAGGCTTTTACAGGTTTCCATTTTTCACCAAAATCCGGAAGGTTCTGCCCACTGATGCCTAAACCATGCCGTGAAACGGAGCTGTTGGGACGTGGTTGTCAAAAGTTATCACATTGCAGACAGACAGACAGACAGAAACGCCATCGAGTTGGGTGTGGGGCCTCACTTCCCTCAGCCAATAAAAGCTTTAACCTCAAAGTAGTTGTTTTCTTTAGGGATAATTATCTAAACAGGCCTTTAGTGTGTGTTTACTAGGGCCCCAGTTCAGCAGGGTAGTTAAGCACATGCTGCACTTTAAGCCCATGAGTCAGTCCATCCCTGTTCAGCGTGTGCTTAAGGGTTTCACTGGATCAGTAGCTGCTTCAGAAGGTGTGAGGAAACCCCCTAGTGGCTGATGACGGACTAACCTGCCCCCAGGGAAAGTTCCCTCCTGACTCCCATCAGTTAACAATTGGCTTGTGCCCTGAAGCAGGAGGGGGTTTCTCTGCCCTCCAGAATGCTTGCATTTTTTGTGAACTGTGATAAGTCTGGAGATTCACATTTCCATATCACTGCCTGGGCCTTTTTGAATCCTTTGTCCATTTGGGATTTTTTCTTTGCTTGTCTGTTTAGTTTTAATCCTACCCAGTCTAAATCTGTATGTTCTCATTATCCATCTAAATGTCCTTTTGTTTTACTCCTGCTGAACTCCTGGCCTCAATGCTATCTTGTGGCAAATTGTTCCACAGGCTAATTATGCATCCTATAAAACAGTATTTCATAGAATCATACAATCATAGGACTGAAGGGAACCTTGAGAGGTCATTTCCTCTTACAGTTAGAAATTTGCTGCTTTTCCCTTTATTTGAGTATCCTCTTGTTCTTGTATTTGGAGAGAAGGTCTGAGCACCCAACTTCTCGCTCTCACTCACTGCTTTGTGTTTCTCTGTCATGTCTCCTATCGAAACTAAAATGTGCCACCTTTTTAAATCACTCCTTATATGGACGTGCCTTCAGGGCTCTAATCATTATTGTTGCGCATCTCCGTAATGTCCTTTCTGAGATGGGGTGACTAGTGCTGCGCACAATGCCCAGGTGAGGGACTAGATAAGTACATTTTTCTATCCTGTTCTTTCTGCATCCGAACTCTTCGTTCTTTAAACCATTGCTGCCCATTGAGCAGAGAGCTTCATGGAGCTGTGTACAGTGATGCCTGGGTCTCTTTCCTGAGTAGTTCCAGTTACAATTTAGAACCCTAGAACCTGTCTGAATAGCTGTAATTATTCCTTGCAATGTGCCTTACCTTACTAGGATCAATACTGAATTTCATCAGCCCTCATATTGCCCAAGCTTGGTCCCTCTGAAATAATTCAAGATTTCTCTGGCCTTGTCTAAATTAAATAGTTCTGTGACATCTATAAATTTCGCCACCTCTCAGCTTATCCTTTTTTCCAAGTCACTGATAACTATACTGAGCACCAGTCCTAACCAAAGACCAACTTTGAGGCACCCCACTGCTAACTCTTTTTCCATGTTTCAGAGTAGCAGCCGTGTTAGTCTGTATCCCCAAAAAGAACAGGAGTACTTGTGGCACATTAGAGACTAACACATTTATTGTAGCATAAGCTTTCGTGGGCTATAGCTCACTTCATCGGATGCATGTAGTGGAAAATACAGAAGGAAGATATATATATGCACAGAGAACATGAAACAATGGGTGTTACCATACACATTATAAGGAGAGTGATCAGTTAAGGTGAGCTGTTGTCAGCAGGAGAGAAAAAGAATTGTTTGTAGTGGTAATGAAAATGGCCCATTTCCAGCACTTGACAAGGAGATATAAGGAACTGTAAGGTGGGGGGAAGATAAGCACGGGGAAATAGTTTTACTTTGTGTAATGGCCCATCCACTCCCAGTCTTTATTCAAACCTAATTTAATGGTGTCCAGTTTGCAAATTAATTCCAATTCAGCAGTCTCTCTTTGGAGTCTGTTTTTGAAGTTTTGTTGTTGTAATATTGCGACTTTTAGGTCCGTAATCGAGTGTCCAGGGAGGTTGAAGTGTTCTCCAACTGGTTTTTGAATGTTATAATTCTTGATTTGTGTCCATTTATTCTTTTACGTAGAGACTGTCTGGTTTGGCCAATGCACATGGCAGAGGGGCATTGCTGGCACATGATGGCATATATCACATTGGTAGATGTGCAGGTGAACGAGCCTCTGATAGTGTGGCTGATGTGATTAGGTCCTATGATGGTGTCCCCTGAATAGATATGTGGACAGAGTTGGCAACGGGCTTTGTTGCAAGGATAGGTTCCTGGGTTAGTGTTTTTGTTGTGTGGTGTGTGCTTGCTGGTGAGTATTTGCTTCAGGTTTGGGGGCTGTCTGTAAGCAAGGACTGGCCTGTCTCCCAAGATCTGTGAGAGTGATGGATCGTCCTTCAGGATAGGTTGTAGATCCTTGATGAAATTTTCCATGGTAAATTTTTACCATTTATTCTTGCTCTTTGTTTTCTGTCTTTGAGCTGGTTTCTGATCCAGGACAATACTTTACCCCTCACACCATGATGACTCAGATTCCTTAATAACCTTTTGTGAGGAACTTTGTTAAAGGCTTTTTGAAAATCCACATAAATTATGCCAATGGGTTCTCCTTTGTGCACTATTTTACTGATATACCTAAAGCAATTTAGTAGATTAGTGGGACACAGATTTCCTTTCCAGCTCTGCTAGTCAGACCTTATCCTATCATTCTCATAGAGCTGTTTTAGAATTCTCTTTTAGTTTTTATTTCAACCAGTGTAGCAGGCACTGCCGTAATGCTCACTGGGCTGTAGTTCTCAGGATTACTCCTACCAACATTTTAAAGTTGGCTACAACATTCCCAACCCTCCGATTCTCCAGAAGTGTAGCTGATTTTAATGAGAGATGCGTATTATTGTTAGCGGCTCAGCCATATCGTCTGATGTCATTTGAGAGCGCCTGGGATTTACCATCTGGCAGGGGTCTTACCTGCTCTTGGTGGCTGCTGGCTCTTTAGTTTGTCAGTTTGTTCCAATATCTCCTCTTCACTCCTCGATCCCTGATCTTTATTTCCTGAACAGAGCAGCTCCAGGGCAGGTCTCTCCCCAGCAACCTCTGTGGTGAAAACTGATGCAAAGAAATGAGTCACAATGTCCTTGCTCCCTCTCCCCTCCGCGGATCCAGGGGACCCATTGATTCTCTCACAGGCTTCCTGATTCTGATTGACTGAAATAATTCCCTGGTATTTGTTTTATATCTCTGGCTGTTCACTCTGCTAATTCCATTTAGCCTCCTAATTCCCATCATGCACTTCACCCGATGTACTGTATGCACCTTTCTGCAGGCTTCACAGGGTTAATATTTTCCATTTGCAGAGGGATCCCTGTTTGGCTCTTACAACCTCCTGCACCTGGCAGGTGGCTGGGTGGGGTTACTGTATTTCTCTCCTTGCTGATTCCTTTGTTGCTCAGGGGTTCAGGTAGGGTGACCAGATGTCCCGATTTTATAGGGACAGTCCCAATTTTGGGGTCATTTTCTTATATAGGCTCCTATTACCCCTCACCTCCATCCTGATTTTTCACATTTGCTGTCTGGTCAGCCTAGGTTCAGGTGTCTGGCTGCTGCTGTAGCCTCCAGGCTGAGTCTAAGGATTGTAACTTCCCTGCTTTAAGGTCTTTTTGACTCACTTCTCTTCTGCAAGATAATGTGATATTGACTCATTTCTCTTTGTTTTATTTTTAGACAAACTCCAGGCTGAGCTCAGTAAGTTCTATTCCCCCCTGTATCACCCAGTGTGACATTGTCTCCTGCTCAGCGTGTCGATGTTCAGGGGCGTTCTCACCCCTCTGTCTGTGTTTGGTTGCAGGGTGGAGAAGCGCCCAGATCTACACAGGTACTGTACATACCACTGATGTTTTATCCATGGTGAGACCCACCTTCCCCTGGGAGCTCTCTGCTCCTTTCCCTGCACAGCGCATTTTCCTATGACATTCAAGCTAGAAAGAGCAATGTGACCAGGGTGGATGGAAAGGGGCAGATGACACCCAGGTTTATTGCAGATCAGGGACATGTCCCCTTTGGGAAAGGGCTGATTAGTGATGAAATGCTGCCCCCTGGTATCACCTTTGCAAGGGGTACCTGGGCTCTGCATGATGGACATTCTTATCTGTCCATAACTGAACTGAATTGCCAAGCTCTCTCTTCCCAGCAGCAGGATCAGACCAGGCTTTCGCCCACAATTTCCTTCTGGTGTAACATGCCCAGACAGGGGCTGTTCAGTGTCCCCCTGGATTTGGGGTGAGGAAGGCCCTGTCCCCACTGCAGGGGCAGACAGGTTTTTATAACCAGCTTGTGACACTCCCTTGACCCAGTTACAACAAATTGTGCCAACAAGGCAGCTTTTCTGCCTCACAGCCGTGGCTGAGCTGTGTGTGTGTGTGTTTGCTCCCAGCCTGCTGCCTGACCATGTGTGTGTCCTGGTGAATGCTGGGAGAGTCTGGGCAGCTCCCTGGTAGCTCCAGGGGCTGTGTGCACACATTACAGCACCACTGGCCCAGGTGTCCATGCACCCCAGGGTGTCCTACCACACAGCTGGGAGGGAGGGGGGTGCCCAGGACAGTTACACAAACACCGTTGGGGTCCTGTTAGGGTCACCACCTCTGCTCCACATACACCACCTGTCCCCACACCCAGAGCACCGTGTCCCCGTCTCACCCGCGGGAGAGGGCACCAGCCCCTGCAGGCTCCTGTTCGTTTGGCTGCCTCAGGCACCAACCTCACCAAGTAGTTTATGGCCCTAAATCTACCCCACTACCCCCAGCGGTGACCCCCACAGCTGATACCTGCATGGTGGTGAATGGGCCCTGCTGGCCCCAAGCTCCACATCTCACTCACTGCTCCCAAGGTGCCCCGTCCCCGGGGCTCCCAGACACTCTGGACCCAGATCTCTCTCTGTGCAGCATCGACACCCCGCAGCCCCCCTGCTACAGCCACTGACATACCTGGGGCTAGTAGCATCCTGGACAGACTCACAGATTTCCCAGGACAGCGACCTGAACAAAGGGACGATCCTGGGAAACCTGGACAGGTGCCAACCCTAGGTCCTGTCCACACAGCACAGTAACACCCAGCTGAGCTGCCAGACTTGTGCCAGCCCAGGCCCCTGGCAGGGACGTTGAGCTGCCAGCTGCCAGGGTCACTAAGGCCTGGTCTACACTAGGACTTTAATTCGGATTTAGCTGCCTTAATCCGAATTAACCCTTCACCCGTCCACACTACAGAGCCAGTTAATTCGAATTAAAGGGCCCTTTAAATCGATTTCTGTACTCCACCTCGACGAACGGAGTAGAGCCTAAATCGATTTTGTTAATTCGAATTAGGGTTAGTGTGGACGCACACCACCGAATCACTGTGTTTAAGTTAATGGGGTAGTGTGGCCGCACACCACCGAATTAATGTGGTTTAAAACCGAATTAAGGTGCTTAGTGTGGCCGCGCACAATCGAATTTATACAACCTGTTTCCCAAATTCGAATTATCTAAATTCGGATTAATCCTGTAGTGTAGACATACCCTAACAGTATTAACTCTGTCATGTGCCACTCACCATGCTAGAGCCCCAAGGGCCCCCATCACTTCACACCCCTGCTATGTCCTGGCATCTACCTCTCCTCTTTCCTCCTCTGCTGTCATGTCTCCCACCCCTCCGCTCACCCCTTTCTGCCCCCTGATGGCCACTCCACCCCTCACCACCCTTTGCTGTCCTGGCTTCCGCCCTTCTTATTCCCCTCAGCCCTCCTGGCACCTGCCCCTCTCCCCACCCTCTCTGACCCCTGGCACCCACCCCTTCCCTCACCCCCCTGTGCCCACCCTTCCTCTAGCCCCACTCTGACCCCCTGGCACCTGCCTCTCCCCAATCCCATCTCCAAACACCTCCCTCTACCTACCTGCCCCTGCCTCTATTCTCACCCCTCTCTGCCCCCTGGTGCTTGTCCCTCCCCTCCTCTGCCCTCCCTGTGTCTGCCCTTCTGCTCAATCCCCTCAATCCCCCTGGCACCTGCCCTTTCCCTTACCTGCCGCACCCTTCTGGTGTCTATCCCTTCCCTCACTCCCCCTGGCCCCCAACACCTGACCCTCCCCTTGTCCCCTTCCTCCCTGGTGCCCAACCCCCTCACCACCCTCTGCCCCACTGACCCTGCTCTCCTCTTGCCCCTCTGCCACCATCACCCATGCCACCTTCTCCTTATTTCTAACCTCTGCCCCTCCCCTCGCCTGCTGGCTCCGTGACACCTGCTCCCCTCACCACCCCTCCAGTCCCCTGGTGCCAGCTCCTCCTCTGCCCCAAGTCCCAGCTCTTCCCTTGCCCCATCTGCCTCCCTGGTCCCTGCTGTTTCCTTTGCCCCCTCTGCCCGCCTGGTGCAAGTCCCTTCCCTCACCCCCCTTTGGGACCCCTGGTCTCAGTCCTTCCCCTCACCTCAGCACTGCCCCACCCCTCACCTCTCCCTCTCCTAACCTCTGGGTCCCACCCCTCCCTTCATCTTCCCTCTGCCCCCCTGGTGCCCACATCTCCCTTCACACCCATCTGCCCCCTAGGGCCCGCCCTTCTCCACACCCCTCTCTCTGCCCCCCTTCTGCTCACCTGCTCCCTTACCCCCCCATTCTGTCCTTTTGGCACCAGTGCCTGCCCACTCACTCCCCCCCATGGTTCCACTTGCCCCACTCCTCATCATCTCACCCCCTGGCAGCTCACCCTCCCCTTTGATTTCCCCTGCCCCATTGGAGCACCCACATTCCCTCACACCCCTCTGCCCATCCCTTCCCTTGCTCCCCATAGACCCCTGGGGTCTGTCCCCTTCTCCCATGGAGCCCACCTCTCCCCCCACCCCCAGGAACCTGCCCTTCACCCCCCTCTGTCCTCATGGTGCCTGCCCCTTCTCTTATCCCCCCATTGCCCTTGTGCCTGTCCCTCCCCTCTGCCCCTCCCGCCACCCCCTCTGCTCCTGTCACCTCCCCCTCCCCTTTCCTCTTCCAGCATCTACTTGTGCCCTCCCCCCCCGCCTCCACTGACACCTTCCCACCCCTCCCGCCCTTTCCTCCTCACAGGCAGACGGGCCCTGACTCCCCTTGGGCAACAACCCCCCCCGCAGCGATTAACAAGGATGCAGGTTAATTTCCCTTTGATCTCAGTGACCAGCCCCTGCCCCCGGCCCTGACTCTGTGACTCTCTTTCCAGTGGACGTGACTCTGGATCCAGACACGGCTCATCCCAGACTCATCCTGTCTGAGGATCAGAAACATGTGAGATTCGGAGACACATGGCAGGATCTGCCCGACAATCCTGAGAGATTTGATCTTTGTCCCTGTGTCCTGGGCGTTGAGCGGTTCGCGGGCGGGAGGCGTTACTGGGAGGTGGAGGTGGGAGACAAGACTGAGTGGACTCTGGGGGTTTGTAGGGAATCTGCGAACAGGAAGGGGAAGGTCACACTCACACCTGAGGATGGATACTGGATCGTGTGGCTGAGGGATGAGGGATACAAGGCCGGCACCGCCCCCCCCAATCCCCCTCCCCGTGAGCGTCAGGCCCAGCCAGGTGGGGATTTTCCTGGACTATGAGGCGGGCGAGGTCTCGTTTTACAATGTGACTGACAGGTCCCATCTCTTCACTTTCACTAACACCTTCTCTGGGACGCTCCGCCCTTATTTCAATCCTCGTGTCAGTGATAGGGGTACAAACGCAGCTCCCCTGATAATCTGCCCAGTCCCAGCTCAGGCCGGGGGGAATCTCTGTCCCTGACAGTGACCCCGTGGCACAGACTGTCCCCTCCCAGCACTGCCGCTCTTCCCCTCCGCCCACCGTGGTAGGGCCAGTGACTGCAGCAACTGGACTTTTTGTGCTGACCAGACGCTGCCAGTTTCCCTTTTTAACTTCTCTAAATAACGTCATTTGTATCTCAACTGTGGAATTTCAAGAAATCCAAAATATTTATCTTAACACAATAAACTATTAAATTGTCAGACTGGGGTGTTCAGTTACAATGTACATGTGTCATAAACATCACAACTACACACATGTGCAGCTTCTCTCTCTCTCCCCCTCTCTTTATTGTCTTGACTGGTTCTCTCTGGAAGGCAGGGCACATACACCCACCTCCTGCACTACATCTTTGAAAATTAATAGGTGAAAAAATGATAGAATTAATTAAGCAATATATTCAACTTAACTCACACAAGATTATATAATAGTCTTTGAACTTCACATTAATTCATGTGATTATTAACTTTCTAGCTACATGTAATTGGTAATCAAGATATGACCCTTCCTTACTTTTTCTCACATCAATTAACAAAACATGGTCCCCAACCTCAAACAGCATCTTCCTATAGATAGAAATCTCTTCTACAATCTCCATTTTTTTAGTTTATTTTTCTTTAGAAATATTATTTGCAGGCAATGGACTGTCAGTGTCCACTGTTGCTTTCAGTGTACTGCCGGGCTCTTCATGGTCTTGGTTATAAGGACACAACAAATGTAGTTTGATAAAGAAATAGAGAAGGAGCTGTATTCCTTTGCTGAATCATCACAAATTAACTTAATTGTATTATAGACGCTGGCACTTAGTGACACATAACATGAAAATTGATGAAGCTTTATTGGGAAACCTTTCTTCTCGGCCATAAATCAGTCGAAAAGGTGATATTTTTGTTGTCATGTGAGGTTTAGAGTACAAAAAAAAAAAAGTTCCCCAGGAAATTCATCACAATTCCTCTGGGTTCTGTCCACCCCATTCTGGAATGCTCTGTAAAAATACTGACCGATTGGTCTAATTCCTTGAAATTAGCAACTGAACCTCATTTCTTGAAGAGCTAGCTGAGCAGAGTATGAGGGGCGGCACAGCACATGGCATTACTAAGACTACTTTTTGTTTTACATGTCATGCATTATGAACATTTTCAATGTAATAATTCAGTTTAGAAGATTTATTCACAATATGCCACTCATGGTAGTGTGGCCTAACCTTACCGTGATTATTTGAAAATAAATACCCTAAAATTATCTTGTAATAGATTCATTTGCAGTGTGGTCCCCTCTCCCCCTTCCCAGGCTGGGTGATGCAGGGAAGCGGAGGAGCAGAGGAGATGGGCTGCTACTCACAGGTGATGCCACTGGATCAGAATCTGCTTCCCATCAGAATTTGCTCCTTTGCTGTCTCTGATCAGGCTCCAGTGACGTGAACATGGAACAGCGTTTCTTGTAAGGCTGAAACATCTGAGGCTGAGATCAAGTTATAAACAAGCAAAAGGCGACTTCTAAAATCTACATCTGTGAAGAAAACTTCTCTGTCTGTAGGATGATTTTGCTATACAAAAAGCTCAAGGAATGAAATAGGTATAATTGTCCCCGCTCTGTGGGAGGGGATTTTTTTTTCTTAAGTCAGGTC